ACATCCGGCCAATCCACAACAATCAGAGACAGGTGTTCAAAAATGTTTGCTCACGCGGCAACCAAACCCTGACCTTTCGTATTTATTAGATGAATTCTCTACCAGGGCAAAGCACCATGTTACTAAGTTACCTAGGTTAGACTGGACTATGTTGCAAGATGACTCACAGGGCCAGTAGAAGTTTCCACAGTGCACCGGATAATGTTACGACCCTCCAACGAGAGTTCTGAGCAAGCAAACAGCCAGGAATTTCGGAGTTTCTCACGCCTTAAATTGCGGCATAGTGCCGCTGAAGACAACCACAAATGCGGAGACGGGCCGTTGCAGTGCAGTTTATGACGTTCTGGCACAAGTCTGCAGACTAACTGGGTGTTGCGTCTTTCTCTAACGTCTTGGACTCGTCAACGTGGGAATATTGCTCTGCATTATCTTCACTTTCAAGAGGGTTGGGCTCTACGGATATGCCATTCAGGATTGACGACGCCTTCTGCGCCACAGCAGTGGCATCATTTGGAGTTGCCCTGATGGACTGTAAGATTGCGGACAGATCCCGGTGCAATCGCCGCAAGAGGAGGAATACCTGCATTGGCAAATTCAGCACAGCGGTCACCTCGCATGTTTAGCGCCGGAACTGTTGACGAGAAACGGGTAATGCCAGTAAACAAAGTAGCTGGTGATGCAAGCTCCGTTCGCTGACATTCTTTGTGTCTCGTATGCGGTTCCACTGACGACCAAATGCAAAAAGCAAGAGACTGCATCAAATAATAAACTACCTGGATTGACCGTCGTTCGATCTCTTGGTCCGTCGTAGCCACCAGCAGATATGGAGGAAATGCACTCGCCTTTGACTCTGAACACCAAACTTTGACATAGCTCTGTTCTTGGCACAACTTTAGCGCAACATTGTTATTAATTACAAGGAAAATTCTACCACCGAGGCGGACCTGTCTGTGAGCTGCGGGGAGACAGGAGAATACGAAAGTCACGGGCAAAAGCCGAGTCGGTGATGGCCCCCAGCCTATGGACCTCCCACTCATCCTGAACAAAGCGCTCACAAAGTTAGGGCACTGGATTTCTAAAAAGCCGCATGCGGAAGTCTTCACCTTTAGAGCCTTTCCTGCAAGCAACGCAAACCGCACAAACTTTATTGGTCGAAACCTCTGCGACCGAGGATACGAAGGAAATTACGTACCCAGAAAACGTCGATTGTGTGGCCGTCCGATAATGCAGAGAGGCATAGCTTCGTCGCCACTGCCGCTGCACGTCTTAGCTTTAGCACTTTGTTAGCAAGCACCTTCAGGCAGCTTGTTCTGTACTCGGAGGATTGAAACTTCAAGATGTGTTCCGTGATAAGAGTGATCAAGACTGACAGAGCCATCCTGAAACGCACACAACACAGTTGTGGAAACAATATCACCAGGATTAAGAGCAACATGAAGAACGAAATGTCCGTGGCAGCGAAATAACCGTGGCACTGTCACCATCAATGACCTCTGAAGCAGCGTTGCTACGCGACATCCGTTTGACCACCCGTGCGTTGAACGCCATACCTTAGGGTAATTGGGCGTAATAATGGGTTGGCTAGGTGGGCGTGGATAGCGTCAAGCATCTGTGCTGTGAAACGCCAGCTCATCTTGCCATAGTGTGTACACTCATGCGCACCGCAGAGGCTCTGCATCTCGGACTGTCCACGAGGACGCAACGAAGGGGTGGCTGGTGCACTGGCCGGTAGCCACAAGATACCGTCAGATGCAGGATGGCTACAATTTGTGGGCGAAGTGGAGCGGGCCCAGGATTTCATCTGAGGATGATAGCTGTTACGCCGCGCCACAGTCATCCGCCCAGGTGTGGACGGTTCCGATCCAGGTGCCTGCCTGTCAGTGGGCCAGAACCCAGTCAGTTCACAAGATTAAAAAGCAAAACACACACAAGAAACTTTGGAAACATGTGCGCATGCTGCTCCACAACTATGCGAGCCATCGTTCGACTCCTTCGTCAGCATCAGCAGTGAAATGCCGATAAAGGTCTCACCCCAAACCTGTCCCTCCATAATCCGACATCTCGAATGCATTGTTGCTCGGTAAAGGAGCCCCATTCGGCAGGATGCAAGCACGCATTAGAATCCCCTGAACAGCCAAATCGAAGCAGACACTTCACCTGATGATTTACTAGTCCATACGTATATTATAATGCCACCCACGCAGCCCCTCGAAGCGAGAAGCGGCGTCCACTAAACTTCCTTGACAGATAAAAGCAAAGCCAGCACTCTTCCTTTGCTTAAAGAACAGCCTGAAACTATTCTGTACTACTACTGCGCCGCACCGCCGGAGTATTTCACAATGCATGCGCAGCACTTAGTACGGGCAGAAGCTCCTTATTGATCTGCCAGCATCCACGAGCTACCGGTGCGGATTATAAGCTGTGCTGGTGCTAGATGGGCTCGAGAGGGATACGGAAAAGTGATGAAAGGCAGATAACACGCACAGTTGTGGTTGAAGGGTGGCGGAATATGGACTGTAGTAGGGTTGCCAGCACCAAGAAACAAACGTCA